CCATTGTCTACCCGGCTGTGGCATGGCGGGCTGCCTGCATTGATAGCATAGGCTCGTCACTCACGCAGCCTGCCATTTGTCTCCTGCTGCAGCGGCGCCTTGGACGTGCCAACTCCCACGCCCCTCCTGCGTGCCCCAGCCACAGCATTAAGACATCGACCGACCGCCTCGAGATCGCCCAGCAACGTGATATGGCCCCGTTCACTACTGATCACGCCACCTCGCGCAGTCGTATACCCCTCGGGCACCATGCTAGCCTTTGCCAGCACCACGCCGTCCCCCGACGCAAACGCCAGCTCATCAAAGGCATCGGCGTGCTTGATCGCATCCCGGCCGTCGACTTTGGCGCCGTACACGGTTGGCGTGCTTTTGCCGTAGATGACCGAGACGGGCGGATAGCTGTTGCTTGCCGCGTGCGCCGGGACGAAGGCGAGCTCTTCCTTGAACCGCTTGACTAAGGCCAGTGTGCGAGTCAGATACGCCACAGCCTCCTCGCGCGGGATCGTCACCGCAGCGCGCAGCGAGGAGTCGACGTCGCAGTCGGACTCTTGGCTAGATGCCGAGTCGTCAATGTTGCCATTGGCCATGCTCTGGATGGAGCCACCGCCCATCGTACCCGGCTCGGTCGCGACACCGCCTACGGTGATTGCCTTGGCCACGTCGACCACGGCCGACGAGCGGGACAGACTGTTCTTGCGACTCGAGAGCGACAAGCTAGGCAACGCACTCGTGACCGAGCTGACGTAGCCGGAGAGGCCCGACGGCTTCTCCGGCATTGACAGTGGCGGTAACGGTCGGCCTACGCAAGGCGAGAGCCGATGCTCAATCCACGTCTGCGGGTCGAAGAAGTCAACGGGATACTCCACGTCCCTATCATGTTTGTCGATGAAGCACCGGCCATCCAGTGGTAGCAGCGCGAAGCTCGTGCGGATCGTGAAGTTGACCTGGGCTGTGAGGACCCGGCTGCTCAGAAGGACCTCATCGCCGTTGCGCATGGGCCCGAGGATGTTGACGCAGGTCTGTGGGACGCCGGCGTATATCACGCCCCTGAAAAGTTCGGGTCGTTTGTTCACCGCATGCCTCGTGATGAGCCCGCCGAGCGAGTGCGCAATGACAGTGGCCCCTCGTTGGTCCTTCGGCGCACCGGGCTGATTGCACGGCAGGCCCTCCAGGAATGCGACTAGCTGCTTGCTCAAGAGCAGTGGATTTAACCGCCAGTCGTAACCATAGTCATGCACCCTCAGCTGCCCTCGCCGCGCATTTTCACATCCTCGCAATCGCTTGAACAGCCTCTTCGACACGTCCACCGGGCCGATGTGCGTGAGCATGCCACCCGGGATGACCTTGGAGCTCGGCCGCTCATCGTCTTTCTCACTGATTCCGACCTCCAGGTCGACTTTCCGGAGATTCAGGCCGACCTTCACGGGCACCCAGACTTGTCGGTTTGGTGGTTCGGCCGAGCGCAGGATGGAGCCTCGATACCCGCCAAGGACGACCACATCACCTTCGAGCCCATTCAAAGCGCGGTGGAAATGCGGATGCGTTGACAGCTTGTTCGTGCCAGTATCAGCAGCGGCGGCCTTGACGGACCGATAAGGCTGCCTCGTCATCGGATCTGTCAGCTTCTCGGGCGACACGGCCCTTGAACTCCGCTCGCTCTGCTTTCCGTTGAAAGACGGAGACCTCTCTCGCAAGAAGTCAGGCGCGAAGCTAGCCAACGACGGTAGGCCAGGCAACTTGATGGACGAGTCTTGCCAGCTGTCTTTGATCGCCTTGAGCCTGGAGTTGACCTGGTCCCGTACGTCTTCAAATCTGCTATCGTCGCCCAAAGACGAGACTCTCGACATGGTGCGCTGCGGGGCGAGGGAGGTGTCGGATGTGGAGCGCCTGAGACGCGAGGGCTGCGGGCGCAGGCGCTGTAGATCCGCCCGATATGGAGTGGCCGGTTGAATGGTCGATGCTCGGGGACTCCGAGGCCCTGCTGTTCGATCTAGAACCATTGCTCGGCTATCGCTCTCTGACCGCTGGCGCACTAGCTTACGAGGGTTCTGATCGGGGTTAGAATTAGATTGAGGCCATTGCAGGCTCGAGCGCTTCGACTTCAATGACGGGTCTGGCGGTGCAGCACGCTCTCCATTCGGTGCAGAGGAGAACGGGGACATGAACGAGAAGTTCTTGGGCATAGAGGGCAGGTTGGACATGAAAGCCTTCTGCCAGCCTTCGAACATTGTGTCTGGCCCCGAGGTCTGTCGCCGGTGGAACGGCAAGCCATCTCGCAGGAGTGACTTCGGCTTCCGCGTGTCTGCAGGAGCTCGCCATGGTGAAGGCAGCCGCATGGACCGTCGAGGGGACGACCGCCAGGATGTCAGCTCCTCGTTCGGTTGCGCCGGGTCGATGCGCTCTGCTGCCCGGCCGACAGTGACTGGCCCATCGCCTGCATCAGGCCCTCCGTCCTCATCTCCTGCCGCTCCCTCTTCCGGTATGGGCTCCTGTGTACCATCGAACCTCCAAAGTACCCTCCGGCTTCTGCAAGGGCGGCAGCTTTCTCGGCCGCCGGAGTCAACGGGGAGTTGAGTCGGGTCTGTTGCCGACTGATACTGATGCCCACTGCAGTGCGTGCATCCTCTGCCGGGATATCCTGCGCATCCGGAGGCTCGTCTTCGGAGGAGGTGCCATGGTCAGCGAGGATGTTGTTCAGCTGGATGTCTGCGAGAGCTCGCGGCTTGCGCTCGGTCGTCGCGGATGCGGCGGGTTGCTGTTGTGTTGCTGGTAGTGACATGTTCGGGTCTTGGCAGAGTCGCGTGGTCCATGTATGATGTGTTTGGGGTGGGACAGAGGGGGCAGGAGGGGGACTATGTCAATGAGAGGAGTGCGAGAGTCCGTGAGCATCGCGCTGAGGTGGTAGGGCATATGGCAGGGACACGAGAGAGGATGGAAATGCCACTTGCCAGTGCCCAAGCTGGACCATTCTTCCGGCGCCGCATGTCTCGCGTGAACGTGATCTCCATCGACGACACGCGCAGGGCAGTAGTAGTCCGCGGGCGCGAAGGATGTCACGGACCAAGCCTGATCAAGCTTCGCGGCCGGATGGCTGTGGCATCCGAGGCTCCGTACGCGACAACGCTCCTCGCGAATCATGCCATGACACGTTCGGGCGCGTTGATGATGCAGCCGCTCTTCGGTGTGTCCAATGAGTCTACTTGTGGTAACGCTGGGCCATGTAGGATTGTTGCGGGCTAACCAAATTGTGCACTGAAAGATCGTGTATTCACAAGAAAGAAACTGATCCGGAGCCGTTTCGTCCGATCATACTACCTATATATCCGGTGGCTGTCTGCTTTCGAAGGTTGCCTGACCTTTAGCTGCAATCACAGCCCGGCCAGCATTTACATCGCGTCTTAGAATCTCATTAGCCTTCCACTCTAGGCACAGGGAGACTCCACCGTACGAAGGGGTCTACTTGTATGGAGGCATCACAAGCTAACGTAGGGTGTAGTATTATATCACCACCATGCCATCACAACTCGTAACGTGCAGGTGCGAGCGCCGTATTACCAGGACGAGATGGCAGAACTGCACAGCGACTCCGACGCATGAAAAGGAGCAAATCCACTTGATTGCCTGCAAACTAGCGGGCCCGCACACGTACAAGGACGTCTACACAGGAAGTTCCGTAATCAGAGTCCCGGGCCACATCTGCCCCAGATGTTGAGCGAGTCGTTCCGAAGGGGCTCGCTGATGGGATTGCCCTGGACATCAGTGTGACTTAAGTCTCCCTGTGTTCAAGCTGGTGGTGGATTGCACGGACAAGCGGTCGGATGTGTGCATTCCAATTGGGCGTTACAACTTGCCGGACGTAGCTGCTGCGCGTTGCATGCCGCGTTCGATCGCAGTGATATCGTCTATAACCTCGTCCACGCAGCTATACTCGCGCCGCCAACACTTCACCGTAATCGCAGCGCATGCATGAGGCTCGGTAGGGAACTCTTCGCGCTCGAACCGGGACGTGATCGCTTCGTGCCATCCTTCTTCGCCATCTACGATATCTGGGTAGACTTCGTGGCCCAGCATGATGAAGTGTATCGTCGAGCCCAGCGCGAAAATATCCGTCTTCACGTCCGCTAGGGTATCATTGGCCCGAGGGCAGTAGTATCTGCAGGGTTCTCCCCTTTCCCCATACCAGATTGTCTCGCCTTGGTCTGATAGACGATTGCACTGCAGGTCGGCAAGCTTGATGTCGAGATCTTGGTTGAGGAGAACGTTGCTCGGGTTCAGGTCGGTGTGAACGATATCATGCTTGTGGAGATGCCGGAGAGCCTCCATAAGATGGCGACTCCACGCTACACGACGCTGCAGTGTAACAGTATGATCCCCTTCCGCGAGGTAATGGTAGAGAGTGCCGTTCCGTGCGCGTTCGAGGTATAGACCCTGCTCAGTGAACTCCTTTACAGCAATGATATGAGGGTGAGGGCCAACGAGCTTGAACACCCGGTACTCGTGCTCCAGAAGACGGAGGTCGCCCCCAGGCTGTGCGGGATACTTCAGCACAGTGAAGTCGTCGACCTCTCCCACGAATGTGTTTGTGCCGTTCGCAATGATATCTCGAACGCCAGGCGGGCAGTATTGGCAGTAGGTCACAATTTCCGGATCATCCATGTCGATTGTCTTGAGCGCACTGCCACACTGCGTGGTGGGACTGGCGGAGAAGGGGTGGTGCTCATTGATGACCCAGGGAGGGCGTTCTGATAAAGGACGTGTGGCGCGCCAATGCCACGAGATGCTGTGCACCTAAGGCATCAATCAGCCAAAGTCTCCCAGTCTCCGACCACGAGTGGGGTGCGGGCCCGTCGGGTAATCTTCGGGCACCGTTATTGACCTTCATATTTGATCATCTGTCGCCGAGTATGTGATTGCTCCCAGATCTTCGGTCGAGTTACTCGATCAGAATTGCCTTCATGGCGCAGGTAAGCCTCTCCGCCACCTGGAGCAATCAATTCGTCGTCTTATTCGTCCGCTCAGTGGTAACGCGTCGCACTTGTACGCGGTCCTTTCACTGGATCAATCCATCAATGCGAAGATCCCTAGTTCAATTCTGGGTGAAGGCAGCCTTTGTTTTGTCCGGCCACGCTGCTGTATCTCGAAGCGGTGGTACGACGAGATGCGGATCAGTATCTTTTGCAAGAATCTCTTCACAGCCGAAGTGTCACATACGAGTCAAAGAGGGAGATAGATTGCATTGGACAGAAGCAAGGCGTCAATGCAGCCCACTGGCACCAGCGTTCCCCATCGCCATCATGAAGGTTACATGCCAATGAAGATGCCCTCGATTGCCTTTGTGGGCACCCCAAAACACCACAACACCGTGCTAAATGGTCAAGTGCCCCTCACACAGACATCTCATGTACAGCCAACCAACAGCCCAACTAATACCACTTCCAACATTACAGCAACTTTCCCCTCTGCTCCCTCGCCAACCTCGCCCGATCCCTCCTGTCTCCCTCCGCCAACCACTGACTCGCCTTGACCAACTGCAGCACGTTGATCCACTGCTTGATCGCCATGACCGGCGCACACCCCAGCGTCAGGATCCAGGGCACCAGGCTGTCCATCTTGTTCGCTCGCGCCATCTCCATAGCTCCAGCGCTGAACGGGCTGGGGAAAAGGAGCGAGGGCTGCGGCGAGTACGGCATCGAAGGTGTCGTGGCATTAGCTGCGAGGCCCGCGCTGGGGAGCAAGGCGGGCGTGATGAGGGGCGAGGAGAAGCAGAGGAGGTAGAGGGCGATGAAGAAGAGTTCGTTGAGCGCGCAGAAGGTGAAAAGGACGATCTGGTCACTTCGTCAGCATGCTGCTACCCGACATCCGGGATGTGAAGACGAACCTTATTCGTGTAGTACTTATTCATGATCCAGCTCCTCTCCACGCTAACATTCTTATGGCTCTCCCCCGACCCGCCCATGCTGAGCGTGGCGTACATGTGCATATAATGGCTTGCCAGATCCAAGCTGATCAAGCCCTGGAAGATCATGCTGTACGCCGGCTTCGCCGTCGCCAGGAACACGAGCAGGCAGGTCGTGGTGCAGCGGTCCGTGACCATGTCCAGCACGGCGCCGAAGCGGGTCGACTGCTGGAACTTGCGGGCCGCGATGCCGTCGAGGGCGTCCATGAGGCAGGAGATGGAGTAGAGGAAGGAGCAGCGCCGCGGGTGCAGGGGCATGAAGTAGAGGGAGGCGATGGCGAGGAGGATGCGCGCGTAGCCTGGACAGATTCGTCAGTGGTCGTGTTCGGGCAGCGTGATTGTGGCTGGCGTACCGATCAAGTTGGGGACGAAGAGGAAGATGTTCTCGGTCGTCTGCTCGTCGGTCTCCTTGGCTTGTGCTGGTGCTCGCGGGGTGCCATTTGCTGGTCTGCCATTGCTTTGTGCTGTGCCTGCTGACCGGTCCACTCCAGCCTTCACTCTCTGCGAACTCATCTTGTACGATATGGAGGGGGCTGTTGGATGTCCGTAGTGCTGCGCAGCGCTCGCCAACGAGATCGTAAGGGCTTGCCTACTCTGTTCTCCACCGGCTCGAGACCTTCGCCCCAAGTACAGTCCGCTCAGCTTGACTTTAAGTACGCTTTCGCTATGCTGCTGCCTTCACCAGCCGCATTCGAAGTCGGTGTTAGTGCAGCGTGGGGCTGATCAAGCATCCGAGAGTTTGCCAAGTCAAGCGGAATCGTAAGGGCAGTGCGTGGCCTTATACGAATCGCGAGCGGAGATTACTGCACGTCTGATTACCACAGAGGTTGCTTGTACTTGAGACAATCGCCAGAGGATGCACAGGATGGCCAGCAATCTCGCGCCGCGACCTCCCGGCCGAGGTGGACCCTGGAGGATGGCGATATGCCAAGCCGCTCGCGTGGCAGCCGAACGATCGCAAAGACGTTTACGCACGGTTAGCTCGATCCGCTTTACACACACCTCATGTTTGACGACCCTTGCGGATGGGAGTCATCGCGTGGGCACTCGCTGGCCGAGTAGACGATGGAAACGCCAACACAATAGGTCGACTTGAGAGGACTGGCCATGTACACATATCGGTCGAGATATCTACTACATGTCTACCTAACGACCCCTTGGAATCTCTTTCGGAGCTGAGTCACGGACTCCAGCAGTCTCGCCAGATCATACTCATTGCGCAGCCCGCCCGTCCCAAGTGTCGCCTGTTCAAGCGCAGCTTGACCTCCAGATAGTCTATGCAGACGCACTGCTGGTGCTCGTAGGCGGCAACGGCACATACGACTCAGTGTGCGTCGCGTTGGCTATCCCCGGACTGCTGTAAGTCGGCGTGACCGCCTCTGACCCATCGGAGATGATCAGGTTCCCAAGCACGCGACGGAAGAACTCCAGACTGGCGGCGGGCTGGTAGTAAGGAACCTCGTGGCCACTCTCGTACATGCGCAAGAAACTGAAGTTGCCGTACTGTCGGACCTCGCCGTACTCGACGCCGTCCACGGTGTAGGGCGCGTACAGGCTCTCGCGGAACTCGGTGGCGTGGGTGTAGTTGATCTGCAGAGAGACGGCCTCACCTCCTAGCCAATTGCAGATGTAGTCCGCGTCGCCGTAGTAGAGGGCCACGCGGACTCCGGCGTCGAGGATCATCTCCAGGTCCTTGATGAAGAAGTCGTAGACAAAGTCTCCCGTGTAGCTAAAGCCTTGCCCGACTAGCCTGGAGCTGTCGGCAGTGTAGTTGATATTGACCCCGAGCGCATCCTGAACAGCTGCCGTGTTGAGGTAGTCGATGAAGTAGGTCGGCGGCGTCGGGTCGTCGTAGGGATGGCGGATGTCGTAGACGCCCCGCCCTCCGTACGAGTAGTACGGCTCCTCGACGAAGCCTCTGCAGAAGTTCGTGGCTTGGCTGCAGATCAGCTTGCCCTCGTCCGTGCTCACATCTGCCTCGGCGCACTCGAGGACTTGGTCGCGGCAGCCACCGTCGATGTAGTAGGCGACTTTCATGAAGTTGTAGATGCTCTCGTTGACCAGCTGGATGCCGTAGGAGTTATGCTGGGTGAATTCGGGATAGTAGGGCGCCTGAATGAGCTCATCAATGATGCCATTGCCGATTCCAAGGGTGTCCATCGTAAGCGGACAGCCGTCGATGGAGCCATTACCGATCATGGCGTTCTGCTCGCTGAAGTATTCGTAGAAAGCCGGTCCATAATGGCCGCCGTAAGATTCCGTGAACAGGTTAAAGGTCTTATTCGTCACGGTATTGTCGAGGGTCGGCAGGTTCGCGAGGAAGCCCTGCAGGATCTCCCATGTACCTCCAGCTGAGAGGTAAGTGGTGTCGTAGCGGTATGGGTCAGTCAGGGAGAATCTGCCGTTGGCGGTCGCTGCCGTGGCATTTGTGATTCGGCCGGTGGTCTCGTTCAGGATGCCAAGCTCCGTCGTGGCGTAGCTGAATCCGACCCCGATGGGCTGCGAAAGGAAGAGCATGTTCGAGACGTTCGACCACCTGCATGTGATGAGTCAGCAACGTCACAGTAAGGCATGAATTGCTGTGTGCTCACGAGTACGGGTTCACCATTGTTTCAAGGTCTTCGGTGACGTTGCATGGTCCTAATTCCTGGAACAGTCCGATGAGCGAGTCTGAACCTGGTCCGCCATTGAGCCAGAGCGTAAGTGGAGCGTTGGCGGCATCCTCGCGAGCCTCGAAGAACCAGAAGAACATGTTGGTCGTCTCATTGAGACTGACGTAGCCCGAGTACGAGTTCACGCCGGGTGTTGTCTCGCACACGCCTTGTTTGCCAGGCTGCTTGTATCGGATTGTAGCGCCATTGGGCGACGTGATCGAGGTGACTCCTGTCGGGTCTTCTGGTACTTGTCGTCGCTCTGGTAGCGCCACAGCCAGGCAACTGCCAATACATGGCGCTGCGAGTAAGTAGTTGGAAATCTTCATAGCAAACGGTGAGCGACAAGATGGATGCAGAGCACAAGGGCAGGGTAAACGCACCATGTACCTACGGTCTGATAGCCAGCTTCCTGATACTGCCAGCCCCGAGCATCGTGATCCATTGTGCGCCTTGGGTCCCGGCGGCGGACCTGGGATGACGCTATCGTGGAGTCTGCAACCTTTCCCAGTCAGGCATGCGGCTATGCGCGACATGCACTGCGTGTGCAGTCAAGTCGGATGCCGGAATTGCCATGCAGAGATCGTCGCAGGTCTATTGAAGATGATCACGATAGAGTACTGCAAGCGGAAGGTGAAGCTCAGTGCCAAGCTTCTAGCACAACGCTTGTCGTCACGGATGTAATACATGTAGGCAGAGCACTTCAATTGGCCGTGTGTGGAGCTTCGCCCTGTGCGGCGCTGTCAAGCAAACAACTACGCACGCCGAGCTGCGGCGTAGTGCAATGTGCATGCTGAAGCCAATCACAGTCTGCAACAGCCTTGTCAGGAATCCGTTCACTTGCTACGGGACAAGTATCTTATCATCTCGCAGCAAGAGCAGAGCAAGAGTGCAACGCCAGTAACATCAGCTTCCGAGCATCTTACGGCACCTCACCCAACTTACCATGTCTGCGCCATTATGACCTGGGCAAAGGGCTGGCCGCTCATCGTGGATGCGTGCTTGAACAGGGCGACAGTGTTACTGTTGTCCCTCATCTCAAGTCAGGTTCCATCATCCACTGAGCCAGTTTGATGGTGTTGGGCTCTGTAGGCTTTGCTAGGCCCTTGGATTTTGACGAAGCTTGGAATGCAACAAATTTTGGCTTCGCGAGCGTCTTTCGCGGGTCGTGAGTCTCGTCTCTGGCGAAGACCCGGACGCCCCGCAGGTGCGTGTCCTTGCCGTTCTGATGGTTCTCCAGTATCCGGACCTGCAGAAGGAAGGCTCGGAGGACGGGTCGCTTGCTCCAGTCAATCGCATCTTCCGCATCCTCTCCTTCGTCGTCGTCCTGCTCTATGGGCCCGACGTTACTGAAGTCAACCTCGTGCCAGCCAGTGGGTTGCTCGAAGGTCATCTCGGCGAATTCTTGGATGTCGTGCACGCCCATGCCCGCCAGAAACTGTATCTTGGTGGGCGTGTAGGACTCGTCATGCTCAAAGTCCAGCAGGATCTCGATGGA